CAAAATCAATGTATATTCAGCTCGATTAAAGCTTGTTCGAGTTCGATTTGATTACTTATCAAACCAAATTAAAACATATTAAAACTCGGCAAATTTTTCAATGATCGGGTACAAATGCATTTTTTTTAATTAGCTACAAAATAAATCATATACTTAATATATTCAATCATTCGAAACATAAGGCGAAGAAGATCGAAATTAATTAGAAGATAAAAACTTCAAATTGATGCAAATTGATGTGCACCATTTATTATACATAACAAAACATTTCAAGAAACTGCAGAACAATCTCATCAAAACACACAATAATTATAATTCAAGAAACTACTAAAAGACTTTCGAAATTAATTAGTTATAACTTAAAACAATTTATTTTCCGAGAAAACCCTTTTCCTTGCAGCTTTGAATTGCTCCATCAAACATTTCCTCCAGCCCATTCTCGTACTTGAATCCAGTTTCTTCGAGTTTTTTCGTCGAAAGGCCCGAAAATTTCACCGGAATCAAATCTTTCCAGGCACTGCATATATAATAATAAAAATAAAAATTACAAAATAAATAAATAATAAATTGGTGTTAATTAATTAAAGAAATTAAGAAACTCACTCTTCATTAGGAATCTTATCCTTGTACTCAGGATATCTAGCAGAGATGAATTCAGACAACTCAGCAATAGTAAACTCAACACCAGAACAAATGTATCTCCCTTTTGCCCCTGGATATTCCATTAGATGTATATGTGCTCTTGCCACGTCATCTATGTGAACTAAGCTTGTATCCTTAAGGTGCTTGTAGTGTTCCTTGTCACCTAAAACAATTTTAATGATTTTTTATTTAAAATTATTTAACAATTCAATTAAGGAAACAAAAAATGAAAAACAAAAATTATTTTTGCTAGAATCCATACGTATTTATTACTCCATTTGTTACACAGTAACTGTCTCTTTTGAAAAATATTTTTGTTCCATATTATCTGTCACTTTAGATTTTCAATACTGCATTAAATGCATTTTTTCTGTTTTAACCTTATTAATGAAACTCTATGCATTAATTTTCTCTTATAAAGCATTAAATATTAAAGGTTTTTTAGTCATTTTTATATGATTCTTCTAAAATCAAGATATATTTATTGAGTTTCTTAATCTTTGTGAAAAGTGACAATTATTTAGGAAGGGAGGGAGTATTTTTTTTAATCTACGCGCAACAATCAAAGCCATAAAAATATTTCAGGCAAATTACAACCCCTCAGATAAGGTTTATCAACGAAAAAACTCCTTATTTTTGTATAATTACATCCACACCCTTATATTTATATTTTTTTACATTAACACCCTTTAGTAGGGGTAGATGTACAAAATATACAAACTACGGGGGCTGGATGTAATTTCTAATTTTTTTTTTTTTTTTTTTTTTTATGTGCACTTTATCTCAAGTGGTTGTAAACTACCTAAATATTTGTAACTAGTTAAGAAAAAAATACGATGAAAGGCAATTGACACATAAATTGAAATAATTTATTTTTTTCAAAAAGATAAGAGAAGTAAATAGAAAGAAATTTAGTTGAATGACACGTGTCGGTTTATAGAAGGATGGAAAAAACATACCGAGAATCAAGGCCATGGCCACGTAGACAGAATCCGGAAAATGAGGGCAAATGAAAGGACCAGTTGTCCACGTAGGAATCACACAAACCAGATCCAATCCGAGCTCTCCAGCAATATCAATGGCGGCTCTCTCCGTTATCGTCTTCGTCACGATGTACGGCCCTCCGAACGCCTTCAAGCTCCGCACGAGCTCCACGTCGGTCCAGTAGCTCTCGTCTATGAGTCCGCCGCCCGCGGCCGCGGCGAAGGCGGCGGCGCTGAATGGGACCGCCGATATGCTGGAGGTGTAGACGACGCGCCGGACGGTTTTGGAGTCGGCGCAGGCCTGTAGGATTCCCTTCAGTGCGGTTGTGACCCGTTTGATTTTGACATCCTCGGGTTCTCTCTCCTCGAAATCGAGAGGGTGGGCCATGTGGAAGACGCCG